AGCAACTAACACAACCACAACAGGACAATGCAGAAGAACATTCATTTTTTCATTTTTGGTGAAAGCAATGAAGAATGTGTAAGTGACTGCTCTATTCTTTCAGTTAAAAAAATTAAAAAGCAATGAAAAGAACAGAATATAACTGACTTGTTGATTTTACCACACAAAATTTAAAACTCCCAGACATTCTGCACAAAACTTGTATACATACATAAAATAACTAAGTGGCAAAGAGCAACCATGATGAAAAAAATTTTAGTCTTTGAAAGAATACAATCAAAAGCAAGAATCCTGCCAAATTCATGATGCAAAAGCAAAGGCATTGAACAATTTTCAACTAACTTTCTTATTAATATATAAATATATTCAGCCTTACTGGTAATGAAATAATTGCAAAGTAAGCTCATTAGCATATCCATTTTTACATAATAAATGCTCTTTAATTTGAATATTAGGAGAGAGGAGATACTGTGAAAGGTATGTCTCATGAACTACTTTTGTAGGGAAATGTTTGCCAGTATTCCTTTGCCTGGATCCCTCTCATTGTAGTCACATAGTCTCCATCTTAAAAAATAAAAGTCCTTACATGTCTGTACAACCCTCCACAGCTAATGCTCAGTATCTCTACTTCAGTTAATAGCAAAAATCCTTGGACTTTGCTTCTACTTTTACTGGAAGCTTTACACCTCCAACTCACTCTTTTAATTGAGCCTTTATGTTCATCATTTAATGGCCAGCACTGACCCTTGCACTTCTCAGTCGCTCATTCATGTCTGACTCTTTCCAACCCCATGGACTGTAGCCTGCCAGTCTCCTCTGTCCATGGGATTCTCAAGGCAAGAATACTGGAGTGGGCTGCCATTTCCTTCTCCAGGGAATCCTCCTGACTCAGGGATCCAACCCATATCTCCTCATTGAAGGCGGGTTTTTTATCACTGTGCCACCAGGAATTCAATATTTGCATTTCTTTTTGCATTATAAATTAAAACATCAATTAATCAAGTAAAGAAACAACCCCAGTGATCTTGGTTATGAGTTAGTCCAGACTGGCTCAGGTGAACTCAGGTAAATGTTCTTGTCTCCATTCCATTTGACCTTCTCCTGCAGTATTTCCTGGACTCTTGGACTCACCTGGGTGGAGTCTCTGAGAGGAAGTTTGCAACATAGATGTCCCAGGTGCTCTTGGATGACTGACGATGGAGACAGAAGCTCTGTTTCCAGACAAGACAATGGGATGGAGTCAAGCATTGGTCTTCTAGTCGAATTATGAGTCTGCAAGCAACAGCTATGTCCTGTCTATCCCAAGGTTGCTCAGGCTGAGGGATGCAGCGGAGGAGATATTTATAGCTCCCCATGTCTGCTCATTAGGTACAATTCCCTCCTGTTAGTACCATCTCTAATAATTGATATCCCTGTGGGACACTGTTCTGGACAGATAGGAAAACTTTCTTTTTGTTTTCTCTTTCTAGGTGACAATGTCAGATGGATATAGTATTTATTACTTCTCTCCATGATCTTTCCTGTCCTGGGGGAGTAAAACTTAAGGTCCCATCCCAATCCCGAGTCCACATTTTATCCAGGGTCTAAGATTGAGGTTTCTGTCTTGACTAGGTCTGTGATCAAAGCATTTACTCCTGGTGGGTCCCAGCCCCTAATATCTCTAGAAAATTACTATTCTTACCTTCAAGCAGTGGGATAAATTTGTTCTTTTAATGTAAAACCTTGGGCAGTATACTGCTTGAATTCATTACAGTTTTGTCAAAAATGTTAGGAATTTTGCACTTAAAGCAAGAGTTAAGACGTGTCAGTTAGTTCTTCATTAGAAAATGTTTTTAACTATAAGAAACACATAGATCTTAGCTCCTTTTGGGGTTTCTACAGCTTAATTTTTAGAAAAATCCATTCTATGTGGTAAGTGTAAAGTGCTAGCCACTCAGTTGTGTCTGACTCTTGTGACCCCATGGACTGTAGCCTGCCAGGCTCCTCTGCCCATGGAATTCTCCAGGCAAGAATACTGGAGTGGGCTGCCATTTCCTCCTTTAGGGGATCTTCCCAACCCAGGGATTGAACCTGCGTCTCCTGCATCGGCAGGTGGATTCTTTACTATCTGAGCCTCCAGGGAAGGATAGTACTTCTATGAACTCCATTTTCCATTGCAGAAATGGGCTTCTTAGGGATTAGTGATCTGCCAGTTATACTCTGAGTAAGATACGAGACCTTTTCTGGAATTCTCCAGTTGTTTCCAGCTTTCAAACGCTGGGACAGTGGTTCTCAGTCAGAGATACTTTTACCCTGGGTGATATTTGGTCATGTCTGAAGAGGTGTTGCTAAACAGCCATACAATAATGCCCAATCACCACCCAACCCAAATAATGATCCTGCCCCAAAGGAAAACAGTGAGAAAATGATTAAACCTAACCTAGACCAGCACTTTCCCACATTACTGTTCATACCAGCCACCTAGATGCAGGTTCAAAAGCAGCTTCTGATCAGCAGATCTTGCCTGGTGGTGTTGATGATACAGGTACTGGATTTTGACCATTTGTTGAGTAAACAAGGCTGTGGTTATGTTTTAGAGTCTTCTACAGAGTTTCACATGTTCTCTATTGCAAATCATCTTTGTATGAAATTTTGAAGAAACGCATGCGCATTCATTCCAAAGGCTGTGAAAAACTGTGTCCAATTTGTGTCCCATTCATGGATCACAGCCTCATCGTGGCAAGGAGGCTTGTGTAACTCAATGAAGCTATGAGCCATGCCATGCAGGGCCACCCAAGACAGGCAGGTCATAGTAGAGAGTTCTGACAAAACATGGTCCACTGGAGGAGGGAATGGCAACCCACTTCAGTATTCTTGCCATAAGAACCTCATGAACAGTATGAAAAGGCAAAAAGGGCCCTTGAATCACCCCAAATAATGCACTTCTGGGAATGTTGGTGTAGTAGGCAGAATAAGGGCTTCCAAAAGATGTCCATGTTCATATCCTTGTAATCTTTGAATATGTTATTTTACATAGCAGGGATGTTTAAATTAAGGTGGTTAGTTGAATAAAGTTCCTAATAAGTCACTTTAAGACAATTAGCCATGATTATTAATCAGTGATCCTCTAAACATGGATGAGAGAGGTAGAAGAATTGAACTCATAGAGATATTTGAAAATCTTAAGCTGTTAACTTTGGTGATGTGGCAATAGTCAAGGAATGCAAGTATTCTCTAGGAATTGGAATAGGACAAGAAACATATTCTTCCCTGAAGCCTCCAGGAGTAATCTGTTGCAGGAAGGGGACCACTCCAGGGCCTGAGACTGGGCTCTTGTCTAACACTCAGAAGTGAATTGTCTGAGGAGACATGAATTCTGACAAAGCATGAGACTTTATTCCTTTGATATGCACCTCAGCTATCTGGGGTTCCCTGGTGGCTCAGATGGTAAAGAATCTAGCTGCAATGAAGGATACCTGAGTTTGATCCCTGGGTTGGGATGATCCCCTGGAGAAGGGACTGGCTACCCACTCCAGTATTCTTGCCTGGACAATTCATGGACAGAGGAGTCTGGAGGGCTACAGGGCATGGGGTCTCAAAGACACACAACTGAGTGACTGACAGTTTCACTTTCATTCTGTGTTTTTCACATCCTGAGCTTCCTTGGGGCTCACCATAGGGAATGGTAGCAGTTTGCTGGCTGCTAGAGGGTAGAAGGAGAAGGGGACGACAGAGGATAAGATGGTTGGATGGCATCACTGACTCAATGGACATGGGTTTGGGTGGACTCCGGGAGTTGGTGATGGACAAGGAGGCCTGGTGTGCTGCGGTTCATGCGGTTGCAAAGAGTCAGACACAACTGAGCGACTGAACTGAACTGAACTGAGATGGCAGATAATCTTTCCTTCCTGAGTTCCCTCAGGGCTCACCGGTTCACCAGCTCACCTTCTGTGGTGGCTGAAATTGCTGATTATTGACATCTGTTGTTTACTGATATGGCAGGAAATATTCCATTCCTCAGTTCCCCCTCTTGGTCTGGAATGTGACTAATTTTTGGAAGATATTTCATCACTAATTTTTGTCCTTAACTTGGGATTTCTAGTTTTCTTTAATTTACAAAAAATCTCTTGACTTTCAGACTATCTGCCCCTTGTTGCAAAACTTCTGCATGGTCTGGTTCCTACACCCGTCTCCTGGGAGCTCTCTGCTCAGGGTACTTGAGATGCTGTTTTCAGTCAACAATGTAATGATCTGATATACTTATGTATTCTAAAATAGTTACCATGACAAATTTAGCTAACATTACCTGAAAAAAATTATCATTTTTTTTTCTTATGGTGGAACATTGAAAAATTACTCTCTTAGCAACTTTCAAAGATATAATAGAGAATCATTAGCTGTTGTCACCATGCTCTCTTAGCTCCTCAAGACATCTTCATTTTTAACTGGAAGCTTGTACCTTTTGATTAACATCTCTCCAAAAGCCTCAGTTCCTGGCAACCACTATTCTACTCTCTATTTGCATAATTTTGGCCTTTCAAAAAGATTCCACATATACATGACCTATGCAGTAAGAAATGGCAACCCACTCCAGTACAGAGAAGCCTGGTGGGCTACAGTCCGTGGGACAGCAAAGTCTCAGACACAGCTGAGAGACTGAGTATGCCTGCACGCATGACATAATAATATATTTGTATTGATACATATAGCTAATACATATACATATACAATATAGCTAATCACATGATAATGGAAATTCCCCAAATTGTTTAGATCCAATGTTGAGAATAAATTTGAGAGAGTGGGAAAACCATAACACAGAAAGACTCTTGAAAATGAGAAAGATCACAAATCTTAATCAAGTGAGTGAAATTAAGTTATATGGAGGAGTTCAAAGAAATTTAACTTCTAGGAAATAAATAAAAGGAGCATGTCCTACTTCTTCAATCTAATGAAAGAATCTGAAAAAAGATCTGCAATTTCTGGCTCTGGTTTTGAACCCTTCAATCAGGTAGGCTTCTTCAGCTGAAGACAAATGGCCTTTTTATAGCTGCTTTTCTGAAGAATGCTTGCAGAACATTTTTTATGTCTTTGTTCCTCAGACTATAGATGAAGGGGTTCAGCATGGGTGTGACCACAGTGTACATCACCGAGGCAATTTCACTTGAGTGTGAGCTCTGGGTAGCAGCAGAGCTAAGGTACACTCCTAGGCTTGTACAATAAAATAAGGAGACCACAGAGAGGTGAGACATACAGGTGGAAAAGGCTTTAAGCTTTCCCTGAGCTGATGAGATTCCACATATGGAGGAAACTATCTTAGAGTAAGAGTAACATATCCCAGACAGGGGAGCACCAGCCAGCAACCCAGCTGCAAAATACATCACCATGTCATTAAGAAAGTTGTCAGAACAGGCAAGTTGGACCATTTGATTGAGTTCACAGAAATAGTGAGGGATTTCCAGCTCTCCACAGAAGGACAGTCTCAACACCATTAAGGTCTGTAACAAGGAATGAAGGACACTGATGGCCCAGCTAACCAGAAGCAGAATTCCACAGATTTGGGGGTTCATGATGACCGTGTAGTGCAGGGGGTGGCAGATGGCCACATACCGATCATAGGCCATCACAGTCAGAAGGAAGTCATCTAACCCTGCGAACAGTATAAAAAAAAACATCTGGGTGATGCAGCCTTTGTAGGTGATAACTGTGCTCTGTGTCTGGATGTTCCACAGCATTTTTGGGATGGTGGTGGAGGTGAGGCAGATGTCTACAAAGGACAGGTTGGAGAGGAAGAAGTACATGGGGGTATGGAGGTGGGGGTCTGAGACAGCCAGGATGATGAGGAGGTTTCCAAACACATTGATCAGGTACATGCAGAGGAAAAGCCCAGATATGAAGGGCTGCAGTTCTGGTTCCTCTGAGAATCCCAGAAGAAGAAATTCTGAAACTCTTGTGATGTTCGTTGGTGCCATGTAGTGGAAGTGACTACAAGTAAAGGGAAAAAAGGTGACTAATTTTTGTGCAAGTGAACATTACTCACATTGTTGAAATGCTACCTTATATATTTTGCAATTAGGAAGTTAATGTCAATATTCTGTTCATGCAATGAGTACAGTGTTTTGGTAATCAAAAGCTCCTGAAATCCAGTCATGGATAATCAATATAGCAAATAAAAATATATGTAGCATGTCATATGGTGACACATACTATGAATAAAATGAGAGTAAGAGTAAAGGAAAGAGTAAAGAAAGGATGCTATTTTTATGGGTCTTCAGGTAAGATTGCAATATATGTATCATGTCAGATGGCTGCAGTAGGTTTAAGGGACAAGGCAAAGAGGGTGTGCTATTTTTTGTGGCTTCATGAACAAGTTGAAAATACAGTTATATTTTGTTAGAGACCTTAAGGAAGGAAAAAAAACAACTATGAATATATCAGTACAACTGTATTGTAGGCAGGATATGCATTCAGTGCAGAAGCCTCTAGTGTATTTGTTCAAAACATACATTTTTTTTTTTAAAGGAAGCCAATTTGGGGAGATTAATCGACAGGAGGGAGAGTGAGGAGAAAAGAAGTCAGAGGATGTTGAAAAAAACAAGGTGGCCTTCTAGCTGATGGTAACTTTTCAAGGCACAAGGATCCCCTTATCTACACTATTTTCCCCTAGCACTTTATGAAATTGTTGCAAAGGTGACCTGTATCTTTAAATGAATCCCTTCTTTTGTATGAATTCTGACCTCTTTGTGTAAGAGTCACTTTGGAATATATGAGCTCAGTATCCTTGCTGTGAGGACATCTCACACTCCACAAGTCAGGAACAGACAGACAGATAGACACACATACACACACACACACACACACACAGACACACAGAGTACATCCTGGCTTCATAGACTGTTACTGACATATCCTTTTCACCCCTAACTATCCTGATTAAGTTAGAGGTTAAAATAGCTCAAATTAATCAGATCAGGTTACATACAAAAGGCATCCAGAACATCCAGTTTCAAACTTCCCAGGTTCAATAAACTTGTGCTTTGAAATTGGCTTTGCTTTTTTATGCCATGTATTAAACATACATAAAAGTGAATATGTGTCTGTATATGAATCTATATTCTTTCTCAAAACCTGGATTTTAAGAAATATGTATGTATATATATATTTGGGCTTTCCAGTGTAACAGTAAAGAATCTGCCTGACAATGCAGGAGACTCAAGAGACATGGACTTGAGCCCTGGGTCAGGAAGATTCAGCTACAGTCCATGGGGTCGCAAAGGGTTGGACACGACTGAAGTGACTAAGGACACACACAGTATATATGGAGAGAGAGAGAGAGAGAAGCAGAGACAGAGACAGAGGGAGAAAGAGAGAGACAGAGAAGGAGAGGCAGAGAAATATAGGCACACACATAAAGAGAAAATGGATGTCAGAGGGTATAAAGATCTAGTAAGCACAAGTGGTCTCTGAGAGAATGTAGTGAAGAAAAACTCCTTTGGTTATGTTGAAATTTCATGTTCTCTTATATTTCCTTAATGCCCAGAAAAATGATTAAAAAGAAAAAATAAATTAATCCAAAGAAAGAAAAAAATAATATTATCTTTATGGTTTGATAGACATATGAAATGTGTGGCCCAAGAGAAAAATAAAGAATGGGGAAAAACCAAAGCTTCAAAAGAGGATGTTTAAAACATACAGTGAATATAAAATGAAATTGGTAATTTTAAAAATCAGACAGAAGAACATGGTTTCCCTGTGCCTATTTCATATTTATTTGAAGAACTGTTTGCAAAAAATGAAGCCTCTCTTCCTCCTTCTGATATTTTACAAAAAATTAAAGAGATTACAACTTCAGCATAAGAATAATGCCCTGATATCTAAATATATAAAATTTAAGGGTGGGCATATCTTTTTGCCTTTTCATACTGTTCAGGAAATCAATCCTGAATATTCATTGGAGAGACTGATACTGAAGTTGAAGCGCCAAGACTTTGGCCACCTGATGTGATGAGACGACTCATTTGAAAAGACCCCGATGCTGGGAAAGATTGAAAGCAGGAGGAGGAGGGGATGACAGAGGATGAGATAGTTGGATGGCATCACCGACTCAATGGGCATGAGTTTGAGCAAGCTCTGGGAGATGGTGAAGGACAGGGAAGCCTGGCATGCTGCAATCCATTGGGTCACAAAGAGATGGACATGACTGAGTGACTGAATAACAACAAAGGGTGGGCACAAGCACCTTAAATAAAGAAAAAAAAAAAACTCAGAAGTAAGACAGTAAACATATTTAAGTAAATAAATTTAAAATATTAAGGTCAAAAATATGTCCACAAGTCAATTGAACAAAAGTCATTTATAAAAATTATTTGAAAGGTTGATAAATGTAGAAATGAACACATAATACATGGATGTATGAGTAATTGGTAAATAAAAAGGTGACCAAATATATAAATCTTTGCTCTAACTCAGTGTACAGTTTAAGAAAGCCATAGGAGATCCTTTTCTTACTAGAGACCTGGGAAAACCTTAAAGGTTTGTCATATTTTGGGGTGAGAACTTTTGAAATAGTAGCAAGGGTTTTCTTGAGTCTGAGTTTTCTGCAGAAATGCAAAGTATTACAGTATTTTAGGGTTTCCACGATAGCTCAGTTGGTAAAGAATCTGCCTGCAATGCAGCAGACCCTGGTTCAATTCCTGGATTGGGAAGATCCCCTGGAGAAGGGAAAGGTTACCATTCCAGTATTCTGACCTGGAGAATTCCATGGAGTGTAGTCTCAAAGAGTCAGACATGACTGAGCAACTTTCACACTTCACTTCAACCTCATTAGCATACTCCTTTTTACATCTTAGTTTTTTTCATGTGTTTCACCGAAGACACTCTGACATATGTTTCCTATACTGTGAAATATGTGTACTGTAGTTGCAAGGATGTATTTGCAGGCATGCCTTAGTGTGGATCCTTCTCATCAATTTGAAAATATGGTCAAATAGCCAATCTTAAAAGTTAGAAAGAAATGCCTTCACTTTATCTTATACACTGCACAACTAATACCCTATTTCTCCATGCCAGTTAATTAGGATGATGCTTGGACGTACGTTCTAATTTTACTGGAAGCACTTTAGGCCTCTCATAATTGGTCTTCCATTCCTATCATTTAGTGGGTATCACTGAGCGTTGTCTTATTGAGTTCAGTGTTCACTTTTCTTTTTAGCATCATAAAGATACCCTGATATTTAATCAAGCAAGCCAACAACCACAGTGGTCTCTGGGCTCTGGGCTGGGCTGAGCTGGTATTCAGGTGATGTCAGGTAAGCAATCTTGAATTTCCTTCCTCTGACCTTTTCTATCAGGGACTTTTGGGCTCTTGGACTCACCTGCATGGGAACTCTGAGACAGTTTTTTGTGTGGAAATCTGACTCTCTTACCGGATGGCTGATGATGAAGACTGAAACTCTTTCCCCAGATAAGACCGCAGGAAGGGGTCACCTGTTGATCCTTTAGTCAGATATAGGACTCCAAAATCACAGCTGTGTCTCATTCATGTTCAGGTTACACAGACTCAGGGAACACAGCAGAAGGGATGGGCTTCCCAGGTGACTCAGTGGTAAAAAATCCACCTGCCCATGCAGGAGACATGGTTTGATCCCTGGATCTGGAACATCCCCTGGAAAAGGAAATGGCAACCCACTCCAGTATTGTTGCCTGGGAAATCCCATGGACAGAGGAGCCTGGTAGGCTACAGTTCATGGGGTCCTAACAATAGTTGGACATGATTTAGCAACTAAACAACAATCTGCTCATTAGAAACATTTCCCTTGGGTTATAGCAACCTATTAACACTGGATTTCCCTGTGGAACTTGGTCTGGACAGAAAGAAAATTTTTTTCCTGGTGATTTTCTGTTTCTCAGGAGAGCAGGTGATCAGCCCTGTGAGAATGAGGCAATTCTCTTGCATAGGTTCCTTGCTTCTTCGGAGCACTGACTTGAGGTGGGGGCACAGCCCAAGATACCCTTAGGAAATGATTACTCCCCTGTTTACTAGAGGACCAACTTTGCTCCTTTGATGTGAAATATTGAGCAGTGCACTTCCTCCCTTCCTGACACTTTTACTAACTCTACTAGGAGTTTAAGACCTATTCCTGAAGTGAAGGGAAGTTGAGTATGCTAAGTGGGCTTTCCTGGTGGCTCGGACAGTAAAGAATCTGCATGCAATGAAGGAGACTTGCCTTTGATCCCTGGGTCAGGAAGATAGGACTTCATACTTATTTCTGCAGTTAAGGGGAATTGATTAGCTCCTAATTAAAAATATTTGTAAGTTATGGTGTATATTTTGGTATTTTCAAGCACCATAACCTACCTTAGCACACTAGAGGGATTATCTGATTTAATTTTCAGAGAACCACTTTCTGTGAGGTAGCACTGTTATAACTCCAATCTCCATTTCAGATATAGAATTCAGAATTATGTAACATTCTGATGTATGTAATTTTCTGCTGAAAGTTGCAAGCCTATTTCAGGTTGGAGTCATGAACAGAATTCCATCAGGATGTTTCCAGTTCTCAAACTCTGGGTTGTGGTTTTTCCATCAGAGATGAGTTTGCTCCTGGGATATTTGGCAGTGTTTTAAAGGATGCTGATAAAACCCCATAATAAACAGTATATAGCACTTGACACAATAATTATCCGGCCACAAATGTTAACCCTGAGAAGGTGAGAAAACCCATTTTATACCAGCACTTCTTTTACATCCTTGCACATACAGGTCATCAGGGATTCTAATTCAAGTACAAATTCTGACCGACTAGGTCTGCAGTGAGCCCTAGGACCTTGCATTTCTAACAAGCTCCTGGGTGATGTTGCAGGTGATGGTCTG